GAAGTTCCGCTGCTGTACCGGTGGGTGAAGTGGAACTAAGCTTTCTCCGATAAATGAAGTCTCAGGCACCTCTCCGGGCTCCCCATCACTTTCTGGACTTGTGTTTCTGCACGTGAGGTCTGTCAGAATCAAGCTTTGTGGGCTGGTGGGATCTAGACTAAAGAGGAGCCCTTCTGGGGACCAGACTCACCAAGAAGAGGTCCCCTAATCCAGGGCACTGAAGGCCCAGGGTCAGGGCTGAGTAGAAATGGACTCCCATGAGAGCCCCCAGTTGAATACCTTTAGGGACTAACTGGAACTCATCTCTCCTTTAAATGCGCAGGTGTTTTTCAAAGCGGGGCTCCTGGGCCTTTTGGAGGAGATGAGAGACGAGAAGCTGGTGACCCTGATGACATGTACCCAGGCTGTGTGCAGGGGGTACCTGATGCGGGTGGAGTTCAGAAAGATGATGGAGAGGAGGTGACAGAGACCCCAGTGCCCCTGGCCCCACTCAGTAGCTGGTTATTGCATCCTGAATTGAGTCCTGGGATACTGAATTGCTTGTCTTTCTTTCATAAGTTCATTCAACAAACATTCATTGAGCACCAGTTAAACACTGAGTCTGTGCAGAGGGGCCCTGGGAAAGCAGGAATGCATCGTGCTTTCAAGGGGCTCACAGAGTCATGGGGAAGCACAGGTGTGCTTGATTCATTTTAATGCCTTAGGTGGCACAGATGATGAAGCACTCAACTGCTAACCTCATGGTTGGCCATTTGAACCCACTATGTAGTGCTGCCGAAGAAATATGTGGGGAAGTCCATGTGACCATCCTGCTCTATAAACACACGGGGTCGCTGTCAGTCAGAACCAACTTGATGATGACAACAGGTTTATTTAACTTATTTATAGGAAGTACCGTGTCAGGGCAATTGGGGATTGGTGGGAATAGCCCCAGGTTGAAGGCTGGGGTTGGCAAGAAGAGAAAACTTTCTTGGGGGAGTTGTATATGGCCCGAGAGAAGGTAGTGGGTGAGGAGGCTCTAACACAGTTCATTGTTGTTGGAGCTCTGACTGAGGCACATGTCATGGAGAGCGTTGAAAAGACAAGCTTGTGTCTGCTGGTAGATGAACCCATGGCAGGGGTGCAAGAAGACAAGGGTGAGAGAGAGTTCCATTTGCAGCTCAGACGATGAGGGGAGCAGACCTGAAGGCACAAAAGATGCCAAGACCTGGCTGTGACAGAAGACCAAGTAAATGGGGACAAGCAAGGAAGGGCCTGAATGAGGAATTAGCCAATGGGTGAGAAGAAGAGCATAGCTGGAAATACTGAAGAATATTATTCCTTCATTCATTTAAGATAAGAAATAACAGCTTACCTGTAGGGATTTTTATGAAGAGGGCAATTTAGGGAGAAAGTGTTCTTCTCCCTGATTCTCTGACACCCTGCATAGCTGTAACTTTGCCATAAGGACCATAAGGCCATCAGACACTAGTCAGGAATAACTCCTATACACTAGCTTGGTGAACTGAGTGGAAGCCAGCACTGAAATGGAGAGGGAAACAAAAATCTCTAAGAAGGGACCAGTTGAAGGAAAAGAGAAGCAAGTTTTCAGCCACACATGAGCTATCTGAATATGGAAGACAAAGGCAAGGAGATAAAGTCGGTATAGCTTCCTACAGCTGTAGAAAAGCGTGAGAATAGACCAGTTATGTGAGGGAGAAAGTCAAGGAGAAGACCAGTGGACCAAATCAGTGCCTGGGTTTATGCCAGCAATTATGAAGGTAGCAGGAGCCCATGTGGCAGAAGACCAGGAGGAAAACTTTTAGCTAAGGCAGAAAAAAAAAAAAATAGCAAACCAACCAACCCATTGACATCAAGTGGATTCCGGTTCATCGCGACTCTATCGGACTGAGTAGAACTACCTCCGTGGTGTTTCCAGGATTGTAAATATCTACTGAAGCAGAAGGTCAACATCTTTCACCCGAGGAGTGACTTAGGGGTTCAAAGCACTGACTTTTTGGTTAGCAGCAATGTATACCAGAGCTGTTTTTATAAAGAGTTCATTGACATTCCAAATGTGGGAGAAAAGCCCCCAAATAGGGATGAAAGGTGCTTATTGCATTGGTAATTAAGATGCCAATGACCACCATATTGTTACCTTCCTTCAAGTCCCTGCTGACTTCATTACACAATGAAGCCCTGTCTGGCCCTCCCCCATCTTCATAATCACTGGTATATTTGAGTCCATTGTTGTGGTCACTACCTATTTTGAGTGACTTCTAGTCTAGGCTACTTGCCTTCTTCCAGCATTCTTCTGTTGTCATCCATATGGTTTCAGCGGCTAAATTTCAGAAGTAGATTGCCAGACATCTCTACCCAGTCTATCTTAGTCCAGAAGCTCTCCTGCAACATTTCCACTAGGGATAGCCCTCCTGGTATTTGAAATAATGATAGCAGAGTCTCCAGTATCACAGCATCATGCAAGCCACCACAGCTCGACAAGCTGACAGAACAGTGGATGATTGACAACCGTAGGCCGTATATTTGCAATAAAGGAGAGAAGATGGGGACCGTGGGTTGTGGGCTGGGCTGCTAACTGAAAGGGTGGCTCTTAAGGGGAAGGATGATGCAGTCTGCTTCTGTAAAGATTTAGTCTTGGGAACCCTATAGAACTGTCCTACTCTGTCCTGAGTCTGAGTCAACTCAACGGCATTAGGATTGGGTTCCATGCTCTCTTTGCTCATGCCACTTTCCCCAAATACCCCCATCCCCTCATTTGCAGAACTTACTCGGGAGTCTATAGCACTGCCAAGCTAGGTTGTACCTCCTCCCCACCTAGCTGGAAAGGGTGAAGGTCCTGGGATCAACCTGGGCAGGTAAAGGTAGAGAGGAGGTCTTGCTTTGGTTCACTAAATTGAGTTCTGATGGATGTGCAGGGACTCCATCTTCTGCATCCAATACAACATTCGTTCATTCATGAACGTCAAGCACTGGCCCTGGATGAACTTGTTCTTCAAGATCAAGCCCCTGCTCAAGAGTGCTGAGGCTAAGAAGGAGATGGCCACCATGAAGGAGGACTTTGAGAAGACCAAGGAAGAGCTGGCTAGATCTGAGGCTCGCCGGAAGGAGATGGAGGAGAAAATGGTCTCCCTATTGCAGGAAAAGAATGATCTCCAGCTACAGGTTCAGTCTGTAAGTACCTTACCTGAGAAATCAGAACACAAACTAAACTCCTGGGCAGAAAAAGCGGAACACAGGCAACCGCCATGAGGTGCCTGTTCAAGAGACACTCGTGCCACCCAGTGGTCATGCTGAGTATTGTAGCACCACCCTGTAAAGACCAGTAAAGGTGGGCTGGCCCTGTTGTTAGTGCTGTTGTCAGTTCTGACTCACAACAACCCTACATAGGGTTTCCAAGGAGTGACTGGTGGGTTTGAACTGGCAACCTTCTTGTTAGCAGTCCAGTGCTTATCTTACAGTGCCACACCAGGACTCCAGCCCTGTTTAGTGCGTTCCAGAAAATATGTCTGCAGAGGGAATTTCTACTCCCCCAAATTTCTCCTTGTTTTTCATGGAATTAGGTATATTTTTTAAGGAGCTCTGCTAGCATAGTGGTTATGAGTTGGGCTGCTAACATCAAGGTCAGCAGTTCGAAGCTACCAGCTGTTCTGTGCGAGAAAGATAAGGCTTTCTGCTCCCATAAAGATTTATAACCTCAGAAACCCTATACAGGGTCACTGTGTGTTGGAACTGACTTGAATGATTAAACAACGAACAATAACAGTGAGAACACATAAAATACAGATGGGTTGTGTTTTACTGGTGTCAGCAGTAAGAGTAAGAAGACCAAACCTGAAAACTGGACAGATTTGTACAGACTCACACCTTTGTTTATAATGATTTCTTGTGAATTTCTTTTACAGGAGCAGTGGTGTCCTGGTGAACTGTACAATAAATGGGTGATATTTAAGTAAATGTGTGCATAAATGGGACATGTGTCCGTTTAGATCTAGGTAATACGCTGTTAGAAAGAAGCAAGGCCCTCTCCTTCTAGGGTTTGCCTAGAGGTTGCACAAAAATGATCATGACCTTGGCTTTGTTTGTTGTTGTCGTTCAGGAAACTGAAAATCTGATGGACGCCGAGGAACGGTGTGAGGGGCTCATCAAAAGCAAGGTTCAGTTGGAAGCCAAAGTCAAAGAGTTGACAGAGAGACTAGAAGAAGAAGAAGAAACAAATTCTGAACTAGTCGCAAAGAAGAGGAACCTGGAAGATAAATGTTCCTCTCTCAAGAAAGACATTGATGACCTGGAACTGACCCTGAGTAAAGTAGAAAAAGAGAAGCATGCCACAGAGAACAAGGTGGGGAACCCCTGGAGTCACCCCGGCTCCTGGAACCATCCCTCATCATCATTGTTAAGTTCTGTTCAGTCAGTTCTGACTCATAGTGACCCTGGATAGGGTTTCCGAGGCTGCAGATCTTTATAGGAGCAGAACGCCACATTTCACTCCCATTAGCAAGAATAATCCTTATCCCCTCTTTACCGCTCCTCCACAAGTCCCACCAATTCCAGCATTGCCTCGAAGGGAGATGCAGGACAGAGCAGGACGGTAGTTAGCCACCTGCCATCCAAGTGACCACAACTCATGACAACTCCAACGCATAGCAACCTTTTGTGTGTCTGAGTAGAACTGTGCACCCCAGGATTTTCAATGGATGATCTTTTGCAAGAAAAGCCAGGCCTTTCTTCTGAGTCTCCTCTAGGTGGACTCTGCCTGCCAATCTTTTGGTTACCCAGCTGAGTATATTAACCATTTGTACGGCCCAGGTCTGAAGGATCCTTAGATATCACCAAGTTCCTTCCTTTGTTGTGTTCTCAGCTCAGCAGGCTCTTCTCAACCCTCCTCCTGCCTCCTGAATTATACCACAGATATCTTGCCTTAACCCTTTCTCACAAAACTGAGAGAAATAAAATGCACACCAGGATACTACTCATGTAGACTAAAATCTTGTGCACACAGCAAAGTGTAAACATTTGACAAAAATACATAAAAATGTATGCTGCAGTTTCTGTTGAAATGGTTGCCCATGAGGTGTAAGGTGACCCACAGCTTCAGTATTGGATAGGTAATTGACAGTAATGGGAAGGGTGGAGACTGTGGCAAACTTGCCTTTTCCACTCAGTTCCACCTAACAGTTGCCAGGTGGGAATGTGAATGCAACATTGTCAGAGCTTCCAATGAGAAGCCAGAGAGCCAGATTTTACATGAATAACAGTACTTTTCAATGTGGTAACTTATTCAAAACTTGTAAACCACTATGTAGACTTAAAAAAAGATGTCTGTAGCCAGCTTCAGCCCAAGAGTCAGGAGTTAGGAACATCTGATCTGGGAAAATTTCATGCATGGGAGAAGGTTCAACTTAACACAGGAAAGTTCCACACTTGGTGCTCGTCTCCCACTGCCTGATGACACAAAATTCCCATCTCCATTTTCTTTGTCACTCCTCATGCATCTCCTTCCCCCTCCCTGCCTCATCTCCAAACCCTCCTCAGCCAAACTCATCAACAAATCTCCAGAGTTGTATCACGAGTGAGGACACAGTGGTATTACCTTTCAGAGATTGTATATTTGCATTTTAACAGTGACCTTCCTTCTAAGGAGCTCTGGTGGCACCATGGGTTAAGCACTGAACTGCTAACTTCAAGGTCAGCAATTCAAACCCACCAACAGCTTCAGAGGAGAACGGTGAGGCTATCTGCCCCCATAAAGATTTATAGTTTCAGAAACCCTATGGAACAGTGCTCCTCGGTTCTATAGGGTCATGAGGAAGAGGAATAGACTCTATAGAAATGGGTTTGTTCTTTTTGGTTTTACTCTAAGACATGTTGGTTGGTTGGTAGTGATGTGCTGTGGAGTCAGTTCCGACTCATAGTGACCCTGCACAGGGTTTCTGAGGCTGTGAATCTTTACGGGAGCAGAAAGCCTCATCTTTCTCCCATGGAACTGCTGGTAGTTTCGAACTGCCGACCTTGCGGTTCGCAGCCCCATTTGTACCACTACGCTACCATAGCTCTTAGACATGTGCCCTCTTTAAAGGACTCATCTTAGTAAGAGGCTGCCAATCCAGAGTAATACAGTGAGTACCTGTTGGCGAGGTAACAAAGCCATTGTAGAAACAAAAAAAGAAAGCAGTCCAGGATAAGCTCTGGACTGCTAACCACAAGGCTGGTAGTTCAAGTCCACCAGCAGTTCTTTAGAAACCCTAACTCGGTCGCTATGAGTTGGCATTGACTCGATGGCACTTAACAACAGTCTTTGTTGGAAGCTTCTGGCTTAATTGTTTGACTATTAAAATTGGTATTCTCCTAGGTAAAGAATCTGTCTGAAGAAATGACAGCTCTTGAAGAGAATATTTCCAAATTGACCAAAGAGAAGAAATCTCTACAGGAAGCCCATCAGCAAACCTTGGATGATCTTCAGGCTGAGGAAGATAAAGTCAATGGTCTAATCAAAATCAATGTCAAGCTTGAACAGCAAACGGATGATGTGAGGATATTTTACAATTATGTTTTAACAGTGATCACTCGCAGACATCCTGGGCAAGAGAGGTTCCACGTAGAAAGCAGGGCTTGAAATCTCAGACTCTGGAATAAGAATCCCTGAGTTCAGATGGTTTCCCTACTTGAGAGTGAGTCTGCAACACTAAGCAAGTGTGTAACCCCACAGAGCTCCAGTTTCTATGCTGTGAAATGGGTATACAATAGCTCTACCTCAGAGATTTGATGATTCCATAGAAAGCTCTGAATATAGGAAATGTTCAGAGAAATGTTAGATGATAGTATTGTTAACATCACCATTATTCACATCCATTTATGGGCCATTCATTTCCAACAACTCCACATCTCTTCTAATCCTATTAAAAATCAGTTCTGTTTGGGACTGTGAAAATTATTATTCCCACTTTTCTACCGCCCCACCCTACCCTGGATCGTGCTACAGTTTGTCCTTGATTTAATAGACAGATTTAGATTTGATGTTTTCTGAGTTTACGCACTACTAATGACTAGAACTTTTCCAGATCTCTCTACTTTTCCTGAAGCCAGAGTACGTATGCCCATCTCCTTGACGCTGTTATGTTTAGCTGCCCTCGAGTTAGCCCTCAACTCAGGATGACACATGCCTGGCAGAAAGACATACATCGCAGACCTGCGCTGCCCCCATGGCCACACCACTGTGATCCACAGGGTTTTCCTGAACTGAATTTCAAAAGTAAATCACAAGGCCTTTCCAGCTTGTCTTAGTCCGGAAGCTCCGCTGAACCCTTTCATTATCCTAACAACATGAGGTGGCTTCTCATAAAGGTGGGAATTGAACCAGGTCTCCCTCATGTTGTTGTTGTTGTTATGTGCCGTGGAGTCGGTTCCGACTCATAGCGACCCTGTATAGGGTTTCCAAGGCTGTAAATCTTTATGGGAGCAGAAAGCCTCATCTTTCTCCCATGGAGCAGCTGGTAGTTTCGAACTGCTGACCTTGTGGTTCACAGCCTGATTCGTAACCACTACACTACCAGAGTTCCTTAGGTCTCCCTCATAGAAAGCGAGAATTCAACCACTAATCCACCGTCCTTCTTTCCCCACACCCACCCTAGAGTATTGTTGTTGTTGTTAAGTGCCGTTGAGTCGGTTCCCACTCATAGGGACCCTGTGTAGGGTTTCCAAGGAGAGACTGGCGAGTCTGAGCCACCGACCTTGCGATTAAACGACCTTGTGGTCCTGTGCTTATCTTACTGTGCCATACCAGGACCCTAGAGTATACACACTCTGAATTCCTTCTTATATCCCCCTGGGATGGTTGGTAAAGTAGAGCAAGAGTGCCAGTGTCCACGCCAGACCGTCACAGATACAGCTGTGGCAACGGCCACCCACAATACCCTTATTTGTTTAGTCCACTCATGAGAATGCAGTACACACCTACGGGCACCGTGTTCCCACCGGGGCATGGACTAGAACAGGTCCAGTGGGGAGGGGCTGGAGAAGGCACCAGGAGGTCCTCAGGACACCCAGCTCCCTGGGTTAGCGTCTTGCTTCTTCCTGGGGCACATACTCATCACCAGCACCCTTTGGGAAGCCAAGGAAACTACAGGCCATGCAAGTAACTGTACAGGCTGGAATGGGCAAGCTCATTTTCCCAGCAGGGTTGAAACCTTTCCCCCTCGTTCCCCATGTTTTCGCAGCTCGAGGGTTGCTTAGAGCAGGAGAAGAAACTACGGGCAGACCTGGAAAGAATGAAGAGGAAGCTGGAAGGAGACCTGAAAATGTCCCAGGAATCCATCATGGATCTAGAAAATAACAAGCAACGAGTAGAGGAGAAACTGAAGAAGTAGGTATTTCCTTTCCCCCCGTGTGTGAGAACTAAAGCAACCCACCACCCTTAAAATTCTTGTACTTCATGGTCTTTTGTTTTTTTAACTGATGTGCAGGAAAGAATTTGAAATCAGCCAGTTACAGACCAAAATTGACGACGAACAAGTTCACAGCTTACAGTTACAAAAGAAGATTAAAGAACTTCAGGTTGTGTTCTAAAATCCTTTCCTAATCATGAAAACTCCTTAGCAGACGTCCCTTCTTAAACTTTTCTCTTTTAGTTTCTTCTTTCGCTTCTCCCACTGGAATATTCTTCCAGAACATTCTGCCCTTTTCTTTATCTCTTAAAAAAAAACCATTTTAACAATTTCAGTGGATCTGTAGGATAAGCACTGGACTGCGAACCACAAGGGTTCAAGCCCACCAGCTGCTCTGTGGGAGAAAGATGAGGCTTTCCGCTCCCACTAAGATTTACAGCCTCAGAAACAGGGTGACTACGAGTTGTAACCAACTCAACAGCACTTAACAACAACATAGTTGTGTATATGCAAAGTTCCTTTTCCTGTATTTTTCAGCATAAATTTGATCAAATTGGCAGTGTCAGTGTGCACTTTACTCTTTTCATTTTAATGTGTCCTGCAGAGTTACGCACGCAGACAGGCATGGGTATCTAACTGCTTCATGGACTGTTTTCATTCCCCTACTGATGGACACTTAGGTTGCTTCCAAGTGTCTTCATGATTGTAATGAAGTCCCTAGAGAATGCAATTGGCTGACATGCACAGCCGCTTACCTAAAGGTTGGCGGTTTGAGTCCACTCAGAGGTACATTGGTGGAAGCACCTAGTGATGTGCTTCTGAAACACCAACCATTGAAAACCCAATGGAGCACAGCTCTACTCTGACACACACGGGTTTACATGAGTAGGAGGTAGCCCAATGCTAACTGGTTCTTTTCATGTTATAGCGTGTACTTTGCCTTGTGCTTCTTAGTTCACAACCCTCACCACCCAGTCCCTCCCGAAAGCCTCCCGCTGCACCTCCAGCAGTCCTGACAGAATGACCCTTTCAGGCCCGCACTGAAGAGCTGGAGGAAGAGATCGAAGCCGAGCACACACTCAGAGCCAAGATTGAGAAGCAGCGCTCTGACCTTTCCCAGGAACTGGAGGAGATCAGTGAGCGTCTGGAAGAAGCCAGTGGAGCGACTTCAGCCCAGATTGAGATGAACAAGAAGAGGGAGGCTGAGTTCCAGAAAATGCGCAGGGACCTGGAGGAGGCCACCCTGCAGCATGAGGCCACCGCGGCTACTCTGAGAAAGAAGCATGCAGACAGTGTGGCTGAGCTCGGGGAGCAGATTGACAACCTGCAGCGGGTCAAACAGAAGCTGGAAAAGGAGAAGAGCGAAATGAAGATGGAAATCGATGACTTGGTCAGCAACATTGAGACCGTCTCCAAGTCTAAGGTACCTGACCCTTCTGATCTTGGTAAACCCAATGAGCAGGTATGACTTGATATTCCCCAAACTGGTTGCATGCTCTACACTGAAACCCTTTTCCCCACTCCTGCCTACTCCTAATTCCTCAGGCTCACTCAGGACAATCAAAATCCAAGTTGCCATCAAGTCTATTCTGACTCAAGTCATGTGTACACATGTCTACTTTCTACTTATGTATCAGAGTAGAGCTGTGCTCCACAGGGTTTTCAACGGCTAGTTTTCTGGAAGTAGACCACCATCAATGGCTAGTTTTTTAAAAGTAGACTACCATTCCTTTCTTCCAAGGTGCTTTCGGGTAGACTCAAACCTCCGACATTTTGGTTAGCAGTGGAAAGCCTTAGTGGTTCGTACCCACCCAGTGGTACCAAGCTAATGATCTGCTACTGGTCACGGTCTCATCCTCCGGCCAGTCTTACAGAAAGCTTTCAGTCCATCTGGCACTTTCTAGAACTAACTCTGTGGATGGGTTGTACTAAGAGCCTGCCTTCCTGAGTCTGGTGGTCTTCTTAGCCCACACAATTAGTTGCTGGAGGCATAGCCAACATGAAGCTGTACACATGAATTCAGGTGGTTCTAGATTTCGTAAGGCTTGAAGCTTTTAACACTTGGGAGGAGAGGGACTTTTCAGAAAAAAAGCAAAACACAAAATTATGACTACAAAACGTATTATGAAAAAATAATAACAAAAATAGAAAGAATAGAAGCAAATACTGTTGGATGATGATGCACGGATGGGATTGTAATCATTGCAGTGAGACAATGGTGTAAAACCGATGTTCTCCCATGTAAACTATCACTCAATTCACAATAAAAACTTATAAAACAAGGAAAGGAACTAATGATACGTGAATGACTTGGGTGAATCTCAAGGCAATCATGTTGGTTCAACCTTTTATGTTGTTGAAAAAATTATTTGCAATGAAAAAAAATTAAATATGAAAGTATTTATTTTAATGAGAAAAAGAAGTCACACAATCCTGGAGGCATTAGGGATTTAGCTTTTTGGGTTTTTTTCCCTGAGACTAATTCAGGCCCTTTGTCAGAAATGCATACCCGTGAGAAAGGGAACCCATAGAAAATTCAGCTCCCCAAACTCTCTGGGGACCAAACAAATGAGAGACCATGAAACTTCATTTTTAAAGCAAACTGGCAAACCTGCCTCAGCAGATGGTTTGAAAGCAAAGCTTTCCTTGCAGAAAGACACAACCTCTACATTGTGGATTACAAGCTGGGCTGCAAGCGGCAAAGTCGGTAGTTCAGATCTACCAGACACTCGTAGGGAAAAAGATGAGGTTTTCTGCTCCCATAAAGATTTACAGCCTCAGAAACCCTATACAGGATCACTATGAGTCGAAATTGACTCGGTGGCATTCCACCATGGCCTCCCTTATTCCTGGGGTTCTCTGAGCTTTCCTTGAGACTGGTCACTTGGGCTGAAGGAAACAGTGACTTCAGACTTTAGGCTGTGGGCCTGTTGCAGAAGATCAGAGTCTCCATCTGGACAAGGCACGTTAGGCATGAATCCGAGAGTTAAGGTACACCTTGCTGTCCTTGCTCAGGGCCTGAGCTCACTGCCTTAAGTTGTCTCTTAAGCTCTTCCACACTCACTCCCTGCCCACAGCCTTTGTGTGGAAGATTTGGGTTATTGTTGTTGTTGTTAGATGCCATCGGGTCAGTACCGACTCATAACAACCCAATGCACAACAGAACGAAACACGGCTCGGTCCTGGGCCAACCTCACAATTGTTGCCACGCTTGAGCCCATTGATGCTGCCGCTCTGCCAATCCATCTCACTGGAAGTCTTCCTCTTTTTCTCTGACCCTCCACCTTATGAAGCATGATATCTTTCTCCAGCGACTGGTCCCTCCTGACATGTCTACAGTATGGGAGATGACGTTTGGCCATCATGGGCTCCAAGAAATACTCTGGCTGCATTTCTTCTATCACAGATCTGTTGGTTCTCTTGGCAATCCATGGCACTTTCAATATTCTCCTCCAACAGGATTTGGGTGGTGACTCCTTTTATCTGTTCAGGCTCCCCATTTTCCTTCCCTCTTTCTCTTTGTGTTCTTCCTTCCTCTAAGAAGTTGTGCCTAAGTGTACCCTATCTGTTTTCTGTAGCAAGCCAGGTCAGGGTGCGGAGTTGGCTGAGTTGGAAGCAACTGCAGCATCTAAGCTGCTGTCCCTGCGATCCAACCTTCCCTACAGCCTCCTTGTAGCATCATTTTTATGTTCTCAGTTCCTAATTTTTTTTATTCCACTGAGAAAATAATTTTACCTTGCTTTAATCTTTAAAACTTTGTTGTATCCTTTGATTTTCTTCCTTGTGAATCCCCATTCCTTTTTCAGGTACCCCTGATTTAATGTATTCACACTTGTATGTCATCTCTTCAAATGGATCCTAAGCTCCTTCAGGACTTTCTTTGAATGGAATGCCCCCATCTTTTCCGCTGTCATCTCATACTTCCCAACTTTAGGGAAAGCAGATGCTCAGTTCATCTTCTGTTATATTATATGAAGTGGAGGGTAGCCAGAAAGAGGCCTACAACCTACAGAAGGTTTTAAACATCCTTCACAGAAATACAGCCCACGTACCTAATGTGGGGGGAGATGAGTCCTTCCACATCCACCCCAGGGAAGCCTATTGCATTATTAAATGACATTCTCCACACTGCTACCTGAATAAACTGTGTGCAGACACATAAATCAGAGTGTAATATCACATGGGATTCCTGGTGTGGAGCTGGAGGATCAGCACAGGACTGCAAACCACAAGGTCGGCAGTTCAAACCCACCAGCTACTCCTCAGAAACCCTATATAGAGTCGCTATGAGTCTGAACCGACTCGATGGCACTTAAGAACAACAATGTCACATGACAACAGAATTACTTATATTGCAAGAATGTCGTGGGTTTCCTTAGAACAGCATCTTCTCTAAAGTTGATTTACAAATCCTTAAAGAACTGTCTACCAACAGCTGATGCTCCCCACTATTGACAATTAAGCAGCAATTACAAATTTTTAAAAATAAAGCAAATCTGAAATGATTATGAGTTTTAAATTCATTTTTTATGTATCCTGTATTTTTATGTTACCTTATAAGAAGCTGAACTAGCGAACTGTCCATCCAGTTCAACACTGGGCAATGAGAATTTACAGTCTCTTATCCATCTTGACATCTTTTTAAAGAGTAACATAGAAAGGATGTTCCGGACTGTTGAAGACCAATTCAGTGAAATCAAGGTCAAGGATGATCAGCAGACACAGTTAATCCATGATCTGAACATGCAGACGGCTCGACTGCAGACCCAAAACGGTGAGAATAGGGGAGGCCCTGTGGTGTCTGGAGGGAGTTCGGGGATCGGGGAGCTCCACACCACTGACACTGGGGCACATCTGCCTGGCAGGAGAGTTGAGTCGCCAAGTGGAAGAGAAGGAGTCCCTGATTTCACAGCTAACCAAAGGCAAGCAGGCCCTCACCCAGCAGCAGGAGGAGCTTAAGAGACAACTGGAAGAAGAAACCAAGGTAAAGACGTCTCTTTGGTGGAGTCGCGACATCAGATGTGACCCCATGCACAACAAAACATGGGACTGAGAGAGACAGTGCATGAGAGTGTGTCCAGTAGTCATGTGACATGCTCAGACCAAGGGAAAGAATGAGACATTGCTTGTTCTGGAGACATCTTTTCAAGCATTCCTACATCCAAGTCTACTCTTTGTTGTTGTTAAATGCCGTCAAGTTGGTTCCAACCCATAGCGACCCTGTATAGGGTTTCCAAAGAGCATCTGGTGAGCTTGAAACACGAACCTTGCAGTTCAAACAACTTTGCAATCTGATGCATTAGTCCACAGTGCCACACCAGGACTCCAAGTATATCTTGAGTGCCTTCCAACCCAGAGAGCTCATTTTCCAGCACTAGATTGGGCAATTATTCTGTTTTGATCCTTAGGTTTTTAATCAGAAGTAGACCCTTCTGGTATATAGTCCCCCTTATCCACAGGGGATACATCTCAGAGCCCCCATTGGATGCCTAAAAGTGCAGTTAGAACTCAACCCTAAGTGTACTGTATTTTGTACTGCATATACTTACCTATGAGGGAGTTTAATTTATACATTAGGTGCAGTCAGAGATGGACGACGATAACTGATGGGTGAGTATGGTGAATACAGTGGACAAAGGGATGGTTCACATCCCATGAGGATGGAGTGGAGATTTTATCCACCAATCATTTAATGTGTTTAGACCATGGTTGGTTGTGGGTAACTGAAACCAAGGAAAGTGAAACCCCAGATAGGGAACCTATGATCCCAAGGTGACTTCCAAAGTTCATGAAAGAATGGAGCTTAAAGAAAACGGGATTTTTTCCACTAACATTTTGAAGCATCCTTGTATGTGAATTGCCGGTGACCTGCCTTCTTCCATCGCCATAGCAACACACAAGCCATTAAAGTACAACTAGCTGACAGATGGCTGATGGCGTGAGAGCGAATCAGCGAAATCAGGCAGTACTACCTCTTCTTCCACAGGTTGGCTGGTCCAATGTGGTATCAGGGCGCCTGATGCTTCTTCTCCTCTCTGCTCTGCAGTGGCTGGAGAGCTTCGATATTGGATCCCAAGCATGGGATGTAATTCATCGGAACTAGAAAACTCTGTCTGGTGGTCTCATAAACTCTCCACTCCAGCTTGGACCTCTCTTTTCCATCTCTCTACTACCTGGACCATCCATCCCTACCTCTCGGAATTCTTGTACAATGTCTAGCAAGTCCTCCCAGTCACTTGAAATGTCCTGTCTCTCCTTCATCATTCTTGGTGTATCATTTGTTACATCACCAGACTTTGATCTCCCCTCCTCCAAAACATCTGCATAACTTTCAGTGAAACCCTCAGGACATTTGCATAAACACGAACATCATTTTCATGCTCTTGACTTCAATACCTAGATGTTTCTGTTGATACTACGTGTCTCCCCAGGGATCTGTAAACTCCTAGCAAGCAAGAATACATTTTCCCTACCTACGTAGCTAGACTAGTGCACACCGCAGGTGCTTAGTAAATGCAGCTGATGTGTAGCCAAGCATTCAAATAAAAATCCAGGTGTATACGAGATGGCATAAATGTAATTCTGAGATTGCCATGCACCAACCAAGATGTATAGGGTGACTTTTTGGAATTCCCCAAAACTCTATCAGCCTCTTCTAGAAAAGAACAAAGGTTCTGTCTGTCTCTCATCTATCTTTCTATTCTATGGTATGGTCTTTGGCATACTTTGTGAGGTGGGGGGCAGTAAGAGCCAGAACCTGAACAAGGAATAAGAAGGTCATACTATGGGAGAGAAACTGTCCCCTGGTGGAGGAGTTTTCCTTCAAACAAGTTTACTAAATATTTGTGTTTTTACAAAGATAATAGTACATTCATTACTGCACTGGGTCGACAGACCTTTTTCTTTGACAGTGTTCTATGACTGTTAGATTGGATGTGAGTCCTTCTGTCCAATTCAAGTTTGAGAAAGGAAGCTTTGGACATGTCCTTTCCTGCTTACGAAGAGTAGACAGAGCACCGGTGTGGGGACAGTGTCCCTTGAGTGATTCCATAGATCCTCTTAGTCTCTTCAATCATAGCTTTCAATCAAACAGCGAGAATTCATTCTGTTCAAATCCTTCCGATCACATCCAGGGAAAGGTCTCAACGTAGATAACACCTCTTTAGCATTTGCTTATTTACCTTTTTGAGATATGTTGTTGCTGTTGTTATGTGCCGTGGAGTCGGTTCTGACTCATAGCGACCCTGTACAGGGTTTCCGAGGCTGTAAATCTTTACGGGAGCAGAAAGCCTCATCTTTCTCCCATGGAACATCTGGTAGTTTCGAACTGCTGACATTGCGGTTCACAGCCTGATTCGTAACCACTATGCTACCAGAGCTCCTTTTTGAGATATAGGGGGAGGGGGAATTAAAGGTAATCACACAAAAAATACATTAAAGAACAGAAAAGAAATAAAGAGTAGACTTCAGAAACGGAGCCCCAGCTAAAAACAGTACTGAGCGAGAAGTTAGTTTGCTGTAAATATTGTTGAATTCTGAGTCACAGTAACCAGTAACCTTATGCATCCAAACAGAACAACCAGTAACCAGTAACCTTGTGCATCCAAACAGAACAACACAATGTCTATTTATTCACTCATGTGTCATCTTCACAACAATTGGTATGCCTGAGTCTTAACCATGGGGGCTCATTCCAGCATTATATTGGACCCTCAGTGGCACCTAACAACAACAACAATTGGACCCATAGGATTTTCATTGGCTGATTTTCAAAGTGGAATGTCAGGCTTTTCTTCCTAGTCTGTCTTACTTTGGAAGCTCTGCTGAAATCTATTCCAGAGACATCTCCAGATGACCCTGCTGGTATTTGAAAAGCCAGTGACATAGCTCCCAGAATCGTAGCAACCCACAAGCCACCACAGTACAACAAACTGACCCACAGGTGGTGGAGAAGTTGATATCATTTTTGATAACATTTCTTTATTTCCATTGTATGGCTCTGGTAGCGTAGTGGTTACGAATCGGGCTGCGAACCTTAAGGTCAGTGGTTCGAAACTACCAGCCGCTCCGTGGGAGAAAGATGAGGCTTTCTACTCCCGTAAGGATTTACACCCTCGGAAACCCTGTACAGGGCCGCTATGGGTCGGAACCGACTCGAAGGCACTTAACAACAACAATATTCTTATGGTAGTTTCCCATTTGGGGCAAACATTAATGGTTTTTCCATTTACTGTAGTGAAATAATTTGCTTTTTTGATAAATACATTTAAATATAATAGAGGAGTTAGCCTAAAGAAATGAGGAAGTGAATGAACAGGTGAGATGCTGGTTCAGCAGCATTTGTAAAGGCAGTGTGCGAATGATCAAATTTAGGAAACGCCCGTTTAACTGAAAATACTGTAACTTTAAAAATGGTCAGATGTTTTGGTCATTTTGTTACCGCTGTGATTCCGCAGGCCAAGAACGCCCTGGCCCACTCCCTGCAGTCCTCCCGCCACGACTGTGACCTGCTGCGGGAACAATATGAGGAGGAGCAGGAATCCAAGGCTGAGCTGCAGAGGGCGCTCTCCAAGGCCAACACAGAGGTTGCCCAGTGGAGGACCAAATACGAGACGGACGCCATCCAGCGCACGGAGGAGCTGGAGGAAGCCAAGTACGGACTCCAGGGTTAAGATAGGAAAGGCAACCCAGGACACAAAGGGACATAGAATCCTTCCTACCTTCCAGAATCTCTCCTCCTGCCCAGGATGTAGTGTCTTCTTAAATATTCAGACAGTCTTCTCCACTCTACAAGGGTCTCCCTGTCCTTCCCCTGGAGAACGATTGATTCCACTTGGTTCCCTTGGTGGGTCCCAGGTGACCTGCTTTGCCACCAAGCATGTTGGGAATTCTTTAGATGATACATAGTTCCTATCCAGTCATCGAATTTTAGGTCTTCTCAGATGTTAGTTCCTTCTAGATTGTTCATTTATGTTCTCTCTAACTGCTTCCCTAGATCCTTTGAAAATAAAAAATTCTGGTTTTTTAGGAAAAAACTGGCCCAGAGGCTCCAGGACGCTGAGGAGAACATGGAGGCGGTGAACTCCAAGTGTGCCTCCTTAGAGAAAACCAAGCAGAGACTCCAGGGAGAAGTGGACGACTTGATGCTTGACTTGGAACGGGCCCACACTGCCTGCGCCACACTGGACAAGAAGCAAAGGAACTTCGATAAGGTTCTTCCCCAATACCTCATGGTGGCTGTACTACGGTGACAGTCCTTCACACCCGGGTGTGCGCAATAGGAGCCTCTGACTCCCAGCATCAGTTCTCAGCGTGGAGGATTTGGAGGGAAATAACATAGAGTCCTGGTGTGGCTCTGTAGGATAAGCACTGAACTGCTCACCGTAAGGTCTGCAGTTCAAATCCACCAGTCGCTCTTTGGAAACCATACACAGAGCCACAGTCAGAAATAACTTGATGGTACTTAACAACAAGAACAACATAGAGACTTCTGGAGTCCTTGTTGTCATGTGCCGTAGAGTCGGTTCCGACTCATAGCAACTCTGTACAGGGTTCCTGAGGCTGTAAATCTTTATGGGAGCAGAAAGCCTCATCTTTCTCCCACAGAACAGCTGATAGTTTCAAACTGCTGGCCCTGAGGTTAGCAGACCAATTCGTAACCACTGTGCTACCAGAGCTCTTAGTTAACACACTTGGTGACTTATCGAAAGGCTGTTGTTTCCAGTCCACCCAGAGGCACCTTGGATGAAAGACCTGGCAATCTTCAGAAAGGCCTCAGTCATTGAAAGCCCTATGAAGTACAGCTCTGTTTTAATACATGAAGTCACAATGAGCTGAAGTTAATTTGATGGCAGTTGGTTAACTGGTAGATGATTACACATAAGTATATATATTCACCCATTGCCATTGAGGTGTCCTGGTGTGGCGCTGTGGGTTAATGCATCAGACAGCAAAGGCATTTGAACTGCAAGGTTGGTGGTTCAAGGTCACTAGCTGCCCCTTGGAAAACCATACAGAGTCGCTATGGGTCGAAACCGACTCGACAGCACATAACAACAACAATTGCCATTGAGCCAGTTCTGAGCCATACAGATCCTATGAGACAGAATAGAACTTCATAGGATTTCCAAGACTGTAATCTTGCAGCTGTATGATAAGCATGGAATTGCTAACCACAAGGTCAGCGGTTCAAACCCACCAGCCACTCCTCAGAAACTCCAGGGAACCAACTCCACAGCACTTCACAACAAAACATTAATCTTCATGGAAGCAGACTGCCACATCTTTTTCCCATGGAGCAACAAACTGGTGGGTTTGAACCACCAAACTTTTCCTTGGTAGCCAATAACTTAACCACTTGATGATTCCATACTTTGGTAACATGTCTCCAAAGAGAATCTTATTTTTAGTCAAGAATATAGCAGTTTTCTTGTAGGGGTATAAAGAGTTTGGAGCCACTGACCTGAAATAAGGACCACTCTCTTTCTTTGGTCCTCAATGATGGAAGACTGGAACCTGAGCATGCTCACTGGAACTCTCCCAAGTTTGTTGCCCTTTCTGCCTCCCACATGTCCCTTTGTATCTCCTAGGTCCTTGCAGAGTGGAAGCAAAAGCTGGGCGAAAGTCAAGCTGAGTTGGAAGCTGCTCAGAAAGAGTCCAGATCCCTGAGTACTGAAATCTTCAAGATGAGGAATGCCTACGAGGAGGTGGTAGATCAGCTAGAGACCCTGAGGCGGGAGAACAAAAATCTGCAAGGTGAGCTCCCGGGAGACCAGAGACCCTCGCTCCTCCTGCATCCCACTGCCCCACAAAACCATCACCCACCACCCAGCCTCACATTTCTCCATTTACCCCATAGTCTAAACCCCTCTCAATGAAAAGCAGGAATGCAGAACAGCCAAGTGTCTTTTTGGAAGACTGAGGCTGTGTTGGATTGTTAAGCACACTGCTACATTTGAGAACAAGATCTTTCAGGGATCCTGGCTCTAAATGGCACTGTGTCCTTGAACATGTCAGCCTTGACCTGTTGTTGCTAAGTGCCATGGAGTCATTTCTGACTCTTAGTGACCCTGTATGGGCTTTCTGAGGAGTGGCTGGTGGGTTTGAACTGCCGACCTTAATGTTCAAACCAACCTTGTGATCCGGTGCAAATCCCCCAGCACCACACCAGGACTCCCAACCTTGACCTACAGATTTAGATGATCAGACCCGATGCCCTGCAAAGTCCCTTCTGATTCTGCAAGATTCTGTGCACTTTCTCTAGTTGTCTTCAGTGGTCCTCATTGTGACTGGTTTTACAAGTTCTTGTTACTCCTTTCTCTACATAGTTCAGGGGAGGCAGCACATTGTTTCTTACCAACACCTCACTTCATTCTCTTCTCTATAAATATTATGAGTGAATCGCCTGTCCCTAAATTACCTGATAAATGTCTATACTATGAACTGAAACCTAAATCGAACCTGTCCTTTGCAGAAGAGATTTCTGACTTAACAGAGCAGATTGCAGAAACTGGCAAGAATCTTCAGGAAGTGGAAAAGACCAAGAAACAAGTAGAGCAAGAAAAGTCAGATCTTCAGGTTGCCTTGGAGGAGGTGGAGGCAAGTGTCTAGGATATGACATTTTAAAAGCCCTGAGAACAGGAACTGAGGAGGCTCAACTTGGCCGCCCTCTTGGGATACTTCCAGCTAACAGGCATCAAGGCTTAGCTGGGAAGAAGGTAAAGAAAACCTCCATGGGGCTGGAAGAGCTATGTTCTGCAGCTTTGTCTCCTGTGTTTCCTCTAGTTCATCTTTTCCCTTTTGAAAATAAAAAAGAGTGATGCGTTGCACCGTCAGGAAGCATATCTATCCCCAAACATCCCAGAGGCCTGACTCAGAACCCCTCAGCTATAACATAGTCGCATGGGCTCATCCATGACTATCAGGAGTCCTTGTAGTCAAATGCACCCCAGAAGTCCCTGGGTGGTGCAAACATTTAAGCACTCAGCTACAAACTGAAAGGTTGTTTGATTCAAATCCATTGCTGGGGGCACCTCAGAAGAAAGGTCTGGCAATCTACTCCTAAAAGATCACAGTCATTGAAAAGTCTACAGAGTTCTACTCTGGCACATGTGGGGTCACCATGAGTCAGAATCCACAGGACAGTAACAGGAGATTTAAAAAATAAAATAAAATAAATAGATCCCAGCCTCTCCTATTGCAGAGAAGCTGGTTAAAATGTTTCTAGGGACATTGGGAATATGACAGGATGACAGAGAGCAACTGGCTGAGCCATATAATGTGTCCTGTCATCTTTAGAGACAAGGTTGGCTGCTGAGTCGTGGCCATGATTAAAATACCAGTTACCCATTGCCAGAAGCCAGCCCATGGTTATCACATGTGTGCCTGAGTAGAACTGTGCTCATAGGGTTCTAATGGCTAGTTTTTGCCCAAAGTAGATCACCAGACCTTTTCAGCCACCTTTGGGTGAACCTAAAATATCAACCTTTCAGTTAACAGCTAAGCACATTACCAAGGGCACCACCCAGGGACCCCTTTATGAAAAATAGACACTCTCAATGAAACGTTTGCTAACTTAACAAAGGATTACTGGTTAAAGCTACATTGATTAAGGGGTAGGGTTGCACAGCCAATTATTATAATTGCTGTCATTAAGTGGTATATCTGTAAATAGCTGAACTGGCAAAAATTATTTACAGCAATGACCCAAAAAATCTAAATCAAAGGGTTGCTACAGAAGCTGCTATGCACAGCCAAATGCTTCCTGGGATTTGGTTCCTTGGTTTTGGAGACTACGGGTTGTGGTTTCATGGGACATCCCAGTTAATTGGGCTAATAATACAACTCATTTGGTGCTTCTGATCTACCTTCTAGTTCATAGTTTAGTGCCTGGGGTTTTAAAAACTTGCATGCAGCCAACCAACTCATAACAATTGGTCTGTATGCATCTGGAACAACAGAGGAGAGTCAGGAATAAGAGGAGGACATGGAGTGTGTGACTCATTGTCTCCATGAACAAATCCCCCCTTTGCTATGAGACCAGAAGAACTGGACGGTGCCTGGCTACCATTTTTAACATTTGATCAAAGATCTTAAAGATGAATCCTAGTCAAAATGGGAGAAATGCAGAAGGGAATTTCAAATTCTCATGGACACTGGAGTTTCTGGAGCCATGAGGGTAGATAGAGGAATCCCTGAAATTATTGTCCTGATGCCATCTTTACATCTTAAGCCAAAAATAAGCCCTGAAGTCATCTCAAAAGTGAATAACTATTTAGTTTAATTAGTAAAAAATATAAAGATCTGCCTTGGCAGAGATGATGACATGGAGAGATGGAGCAGTTGGGGACTTTAGACACAGAGAGGGAGAGGGGCTGTGTGCTGATGACTTGGGGGCAGGCTTGTAGTGTCTACCCTTTGGTTGGTTGATGATGCATGGAGGGGGTTGTAACCATGGCAATGAAACAATATATGGTAGGATGAGTGTAAAACTAATGTTCTCCCATGTAAACTATCACTTAATTCACAATAAAACATAAAAAAAAAAAAAAAAAAAGATCTACCTTGAGCGTTACGCTCTTTTAAGAACTATCTGGTTGTCAAGTGCCGTCGAGTCAGCTCTGACTCATAGCAACCCTGTATAGGATTTCCAAGGAGCAACTGATGAGCCTGAACCGCCAACATTGCTGTTTAAACCGACTTAGCAATCCAGCGCATTAACCCACAGTACCACACCAGGACTCCAAAAACGATCTATATGGTATCAAATTAACAATAGTGACTAGAAAGATTAGATAGAGACCTTACAAGTCAGTGAGTTTTTAATGAATGGGAGGACAACTCAGAAAAGGAAGGTGAGAATGTGTACCACTTAAAGAAAATCATTAGTGTCACTGAATTACACATGTAGACACTGTTAAATTGGTGTATGTTTTGCCAAAACTATACCCTGAAGTCATCTCAAAATTGAATAACTATTTAGCTTAATTAGTAAAAAAAATATATTCTCAACAACATAAGTAAATAAAATGTAAATATAAAGGGGTCATGTGTTAACAAAATTTTAGTATAAGTTTCATTACTACTAGGGATTTTGGGTAGCAAGTCATTTGAGCTGTCTATTGTCCTTGTCATCTGTAAAACTAATAATGTCATTTTTATCATAATGGGGATCAAAATATTGGAGGAAGACAGCAGCCTGTGGTACTCTTAAATGTTCCCCACCTCTCCTCAGGGTTCCTTGGAACATGAAGAGAGCAAGATTTTGCGTGTCCAACTAGAGCTGAGTCAGGTGAAGTCCGAGCTTGACCAGAAAGTCACTGAAAAGGATGAAGAAATTGAGCAACTGAAAAGAAACAGCCAACGAACAGCTGAGGCCACACAGAGCCTGCTGGAGGCTGAAATCCGGAGCCGGAACGATGCCCTGAGGCTGAAGAAAAAGATGGAGGGAGACCTCAATGAAATGGAGATTCAGTTGGGTCATGCCAACCGCCAGGTGGTGGAGACCCAGAAGCACCTGCGCACAGTCCAGGGCCAGCTCAAGGTGAGTGCTGCCTCTGAACACTGCCCTCTAGGCTGGCTGGGCCCAGCTGCCCTGCCCTGTGGCCTCACTCCCAGTTTCCTTCAAGGATTCCCAGCTGCACCTGGATGACACCCTGAGTAACAACGAGGACCTCAAGGAGCAGCTGGCCATTGTGGAGCGTAGGAATGGGCTCCTGCTGGAGGAGCTGGAGTCGATGAAGGTGGCATTGGAGCAGACAGAGCGGACCCGCCGGCTGTCTGAGCAAGAGTTGCTGGATGCCAGTGACCGGGTGCAGCTCCTACATTCGCAGGTGTGTCCAGGGTCCCACATGTGGTAGAAATGCACATCCCCCCTCTGCCCAGACTAACCTAAAACCAAATCCACTGCCATCGAATCAAATGTGACTCATACGGGGTTCCGAAGCTGTAAATCTTTATGGGAGCAGAAAGCCTCTTCTTTCTCCTGCGGAGCAGCTGGTGGGTTTGAACTGCCGACTTTACAGGTTAGTAGCCCAATGCCCACAGTGCCACCAGGGCCAGACTCAGACTCAGTGCTCACCGTAAATGGATTCCAACTCAAAACTATCCTGTAAATCTATATGGAAGCAGAAAGCCTCATCTTTCTCTCTAGGAGTGGCTAGTGAGTTTGAACTGCCGACTTTGTGGTTAGCAATCCAGTGCTTACTCTACAAAGCCACCAGAGCTCCTTACTCATAAAAAAAATGTCATTAAGTCTCACTGTGACAAAGCTTTGGCTCTAACCAGTTGCTGTAAGTTGGACTCAACACATGACAGCCCTACATGCATTTTCAATTGCTTAATTTTCAGATTTAGATCACCAGGTCTTTCTTCCAAGGTACTTCTAGATGAACTGGAAGCTTCCAACCTTTCAGTTAGCAGTCAAGCACACTGACCATTTGCACCACCCAGAGACTTCAACTTTTCAGTTGGACAGATTCCTGAACTTTCTTATGTCAGAACAGAATACTTCATGCATGTTGCGGGAAAATGAGTGAAAACAAACATTAACTGTTGCATAAAGGAAGTGCTGGTCCAGGGTAACATGCTGGACCATAAGGTCAGTTTGAACTGCAAGGTTGGTGGTTCAAGTCCACCAGCTGCTTCGCAGAAACTCCATACAGGGCTGCCATGGGTTAGAACCGACTTGATGGCACTTAAAAAAAGCAATGACAAAGGAAGTGGAGAAGGCTTCATAGAAGAGGTACTGTCTTAGAAAATTCTATTTCTTTGGAAAAATTGTTTTTATCACTTTTATGACATTTTAAAAAGAGTTCATTGTTTTTTAAAAAAGTAAAAAAATACAAACGAGAAAATAGGAAAAAATTCAAACATAATTGTTAGCATCTTGGGATTCTCAGTGTAGTTTCCTGCCTATGTGTGCATGAATATCAAAAGTTTTATAAAATGTGATGGATCTTTTTGCAACCTTTGATTTTCCCTTTAATTACATCTTTAAATAGCAATTTTAAATTCTGTGATAAAGTTGTTATTTTGTTATTTTTTTCTTGAATCCTGTTGTGGCACTGTAGGATTAAGCTCTGGATGGCAAGGTCAGTTTGATCCACAAGGTTGGCAGTTCAAACTCACCATGTACACTTATGATTATTATTTCTTTAATATTCCTGTTGTTAAGTGCCACTGAGTTGGTTCTGACTCATAGCAAACCTTTATAGGGATTCCAAGGAGCAGCTGGTAGGTTTGAACCACCACTCTTTCAGTTAGCAGTCCAGTGCTTATTGTACAGCGCCACACCAGGACTCCTTCATCGATAATTCCTAGGAGTAAAATTTCAGAGCAAAAATGTAAAGACATTTATAATATACTACAAATTATCTTTTCACAAGTTTGTCCTAACCTGTGTTCCCATTGAGAAAATATAGGAGCGCGTTTTCTATAGGTTTTCAAACACTCAGACTGTTGTTGTTAAATGCCATCGAGTCAAATCTGACCCATAGAGACCCTGTATAGGGTTTCCGAGGAGCAGCTGGTGGGCTTGAACCACTGACCTTGCAGTTCAAATGACTTTACAGTATAACACATTAACCCACGGCACCACACCAGACTATTGTCTTCTCATTTTTTTTTTTTTTTACCAATTTCATTACTGAAAAATAACTCTGATTCATTCTTATTTCTTTGTTTACTAATAAGGTGGATCATTATCTCATATTTATCGGTCATTTGTGTTTCTTCTAGTGTATTTTATCTATTTGTGTTTTTTGCCCTTTTTTCTTATTGATTTGTCTTATCTTGGAAACCCTGTACAGGGTCGCTAGGAGTCGGAACTGACTCCACGGCACATAGCAACAACAATTGTATGATAAGGAAGATAATACCTTTTTAATAATATACACTGCAAATGTTTTCCAAGTTGTCAGCCCCTTATCATTGTGTTTATAGTGTGTTTTAATCATTAGAATTATTTTTCATTTTTATATAATTATGTCTGTCTTTTCCTTCTCCCAATAATGTATCTTCCCTCAAATATTTTAAATTCTACCCTTATTATTTACTCGATTTCTTTGTATACAGTTCTTGGGTCTGTGTGAAGACGTCTCCTTATGTTAAGAATAAAACAGCATCTAGCTGGTCACGCATGTAAAAACGAACAGGAGATTGCATTATCATGATTGGCTTCTCTGCTCACCCAGTCCCCTCCCTTACAAGCGTTTTCAGTGCCTCAATGTAACCTGTTGTTAAGTGCCGTCAAGTCAATTCCAACCCATAGTAACCCTGTATAGGGTTTCCGAGGTGCAACTGATGAGTTTGAACAACTGAACTTGTGGTCCAGTGCTTGATCCTACAGCGCCATACCAGGACTCCATTCATTGTAACCTATAACCCTGAGCTCTAATTCCCTTGCTAGAACACAAGCCTGATAAATGCCAAGAAAAAACTGGAGGCTGACATAGCTCAGTGCCAGGTGGAAGTGGAGAACTCCATCCAGGAGTCCAGAAATGCAGAGGAGAAGGCCAAGAAAGCCATCACTGACGTAAGCGAGATTCTCCCTGTTCAGCAATGGCATCTGGAGATATGAAAAGGGGCTTCTAAGCCAGGGCATGACAAGTGGTTTCATCTCCTTATGACCTTCAGTTAGTGGTGGCTTTCTGGAGAGATGTAGTAAATGGGTTCTTACTGGAGGTGGAAATAAAGAAATTATACCAAACCAATTGGCATCAAGTCTATCTCAATATGAGGGGGGAAATCTATTATTTTCTAATTACATTTTCCACAAACTTTTTGAGGCCCCCTCATATGTAAACCATAGGACTATGCGCCATAGAGTTTCTCAAGGTTGTGAGCTTTCTGAAACAGACCACCAGGTCTTTTTTCCAAGGCACCTTGGTGAGGTTGGAGCCCCCAGCTTTTCAGTTTGTGGTTGAGTGCCTGTTTGAGCCACCCAGCAACTCTTAGTGGTGGTGAAGGGTGTTGGGTGGCTTGAGACAGGCATATACAATGCCAGTAACTGCCACCCCCGTAAATCCACTCAATGGCATACAACAACATTCTCCTGGTAGGGATGGACAGGAAGGTTCATTGATATTTCCCGCGACCTTATTTATGCAGGCGGCCATGATGGCTGAGGAGCTGAAGAAGGAGCAGGACACCAGCGCCCACCTGGAGCGGATGAAGAAGAACCTGGAGCAGACGGTGAAGGACCTGCAGCATCGTCTGGATGAGGCCGAGCAGCTGGCCCTGAAGGGAGGCAAGAAGCAGATCCAGAAACTGGAGACGCGGGTAGAGTGGTTTGTGAAGACTCTAGAAGTGACATCAGGCAGAACCACCATCCAGAAAGTTAGGTTGTGCAAGAGCGACCACTGACTGAGTAGGTGAAAAAGTTAGTAAAGAGAAGTATATCAACTGACCCTTCTTCCAAGTTACCTCTGGGTGGATTCAAACCCCCAGCCTTGCAGTTAGCAGCCTTACAAAATAACCTGTGAGCAGCAAAATCTCCCACTTCTTTCTTCTTCACTGATGGCTGTCTCCCAACCAAAGAAAACAGTTGCCATTGAATCAGTTCTGATTCATGACAAACCCATGTGTATTGGATAGAACTGTGCCCCATAAGGTTTCCAAAGACTGACTTTTGGAATGTAGATTGCCAGATCTTTCTTCCAAGGTGCCTCTGAAGAGACATCAATTGCAGACCTCTAAGTTAAAAGCTAAGCTTGTTAACTGTACCACCCGGGAAGAACCCCCAACACACACAAATCCGTTTTTTCCTGCTTACATTAAACAATACTATTATAGTTACATTTTTTTAAATGTTCAAGTATTATTTTTATATAGACTCATACCTACGTAAATGGAAAATCATACTTTATTATGCACGCTTAGGTATAATTTACATTTTGGACCAAACTTCGCTTTGATAAAACATGGCCCAGTTTACATGAAATCTGTAGATTTCCTTTATCTCCCCTTCGGGACCTGATTCTCTTCCTACCTTTTCTCATCTCTAAATGCAGCTGACAGTACTGGACTAGTTCTCATTGCCATCCTAAATGGAGGCTTCTTCCAAGTTTTATAAAAAAGAACGAAAAGAAAAAGGACAGCCAGTGTTGATGGCATCATTTCTGGACATGGCAACTTCATGAATGCCGGAATAGAACTGTGCTCCGTAGGCTGTTTTCAGAAGTAGATCAACTGGCCGTTCCTCCAAGTTGCCTCTAGGTGGATTTGAACCTCCAGCTTAGCAGTTAGCAGCTGAGTGCACTAAGCGTTTGCGCCATTCAGGGATTCCTTCTCCAAGTTGTTGTTGTTAAGTGCCATCGAATTGATTCCAACTCATAGCAACCCCATATTGTGTTTGCAAGGGAACAGCTGATGGGTTTGAACTTACGTTGTGTTGTTTTGTTTTTAATATACTAATACTTTGGGGTCCTGGTGTGGCGCTGTTGGTTAATGTGCTGGACTGCAAAGTCGGTTTAAACTATAAGGTCAGTGGTTCAAACTCACCAGCTGCTCCTCAGAAACCCTATACAGGGCTGCTGTGGGTCAGAATGAACTCGATGGCACTTAACAATGATACTTTAGCCTAAGTCGTTTGTTGCTGTTGTTCGATTTTTTTGACAATTGTTCCCTTGGTTTCTTTGTTTCTCCCTTTAGACCTCTGGTGGTTTCTTTTGCTTGTTTTTAAAGCAGGCTCCTCTCAGAGTTGACATTTTTGAGAAGGACTGTGTGGAGGAAACTGTCAGAATACCTCTGTTGTCTCAGGGAGAAAGGATGTGAAAATGGGAGGTAAATAGGGTGAGGGAAGGTAGATGAAGGAGCCATGTTTTCCAGCAGGAAAGCTCCGAAATATACGCATGACTTACACCAGCTTGCCAAGAACATGGTCACACAAAAAAATCACTTAACTGCCACCAAGTCAATTCCTTCTCATAGTGACCCTAGAGGTCAGAGAGATCCTGCATCATACGGTTTCCAAGGCTGTAAACCTTTGTGGAAGCAGCCGGCCTCATCTTTCTCCTGTGGAGTGACTGGTGGGTTCAAACCATTAACCTTTGGGGTAGCAATCCAGTGCTTAACCCACTGTACCACCAGTCACCCAAAACCAAAAACCCACAGCTGCTGAATGTCTTCTGACTCATTTACCCTATACGACAGAGTTTCCAAAGCTGTAAATCTTTACAGAAGCAGATTACTCTATCTTTCTCTCTCAGAGCATCTGGTGGCCTTTCGATTAGCCGCCTGGCACTTTAACCCCTCCACCATCACAATTCCATATCAGGCACTTGTTGTTGTTGTTGTGAAGTGCCGTTGAGTCGATTCCAACCCATATTGACCCTGTATAGGGTTTCCAAGGAACAGCTGGTGAGCTTGAACCACCGACCTTGCAGTTCAAATGACTTTGCAGTCTGGTGCATTAACCCACAGCACCACACCAGGCAGGACCTTTCAGTGTGAAGGCCATTGACAAGTGATTAATTAAAAGTAAACTGGGAAGTTAAACGCCCCCACACACACCCTGCCAAAAAATGATTTAAGGGATTATTTTTCATTATACTTAGTCCCATTAAAAGGAGTTTAGACCTTCCTTCTCCTGAATCCTTCCTTCCCAGCCTCCCTCCTTAGGTCTTCATTTATGAGTCTTTGATTCCTAGGTCAACCTCTCCCTCCCACAACGAAGCCCCTGACTGTCTTCTCATTCCCAGCTGCCCAGTTCTACGAGAGGGCTTCAAAAAGGCAGTGAAAAAATGGAATGAAAAGATAATGGAATTTTTCCGTGAACTTTTGGAAACCCTCTTGAATAAGTTTTAAGGAGCCCTGGTGGCAATGTAGGGTAAGCATTGGACTGTTAACTGAAAAGTTGGTCATTCAAACCTAACCACCTCTCCCCTAGAGAAAGATGAGGCTTTCTGCTCCCATTAAAGATTTACAGCCTCAGGAAACCCGTAAATTGGAATCCACTCAATGGCAGTGGGTTTGGTTTTTGGTTTTGTTTAAGTTCTATTAAGTACTACAGAGACCTAAAAAGCATTCCCAGGAAAATGATGTTTTATAAAACCTGACAGAAGACAGCTTCCCAGGTCATGGGGGATGTATTTTGGAACAACGCCCAGAGTAAGTTTGTTCCGTTGGTAATTTACAGGTTGATCTAACCAGTTTTCAAGCCCAGAACTCTCCCTCTCTGTGGCTGCCGGCTTTCCCAGTGGAGTGGGAACTGTTTGTTGCTAGTTGCCCCTGCTTACTTGTCTCTAGACTGTGGATCTGGAACCACCACTGGTGACGTGTATTCTCAGCGCCCACATCTCCCCTCAGAGTCCTTGGGAGTGTACACGGTTAGTATGTTCAGCTGCTAACCACCCAGAGGCACCTTGGAAGAAATCTTGGCTATTGAGTTCTGAAAAATCTGCCATTGAAAACACTATGGAGTACAACTTACTCTGACACACGTGGGGTCACCGTGAGTCAGGATCAACTGATGGCAACTGGTATCCCTTCCCTCAAGACTTCAGGGAAGTCACCAGCACTTCTGAAGTTAATGTCTCCAATGTAGTAGTTTATTGTTTTACATTACTTCTATGTACATTAATTAATTTGATTTCCACATTAGAGATAGACTGGGTAGGAATTATAATCATTTCTTTATCCACTATAATAATCTCCATTCCAAATATACAGACACTCCCTCAGTGAAAGTTACTGACTTTCTTTGGATCTGTTGGTCAATAAATGATGGAGCAACGGCTTCAGACTCCTCCTTTGACTGTTTCTAGACCTGGGTTCTCTCCACAACACCAGGACCATCACAAATAGTGATGCAGAAATCCAACCTGTGCCCCTTTGCCAAGCTGCATGGCCCTAGAGGATGGTGCATCTTTTGCAAAACTTGATCCAGTAGCTAAGTCATGCACAGCTGGGGTGACATCGGCCCAGAGAGGGTCTCCTGCTCATACATAGTCACTCTGTGAGCCTAAGGTGGCTATGGGTGTAACAGCTGGCGTCCTGAGCCCTAGAAGGAGACACCTTTGAAAAATATCATTTGCGGGACTTGAGTTGACCCTAAAATGACTGGTACGTGGGCCCAGAAGAGAACCCTGGCTTGACTCTCTGTTCTTGTCACCATACCCAGGTACGGGAGCTGGAAACTGAACTAGATGCTGAGCAGAAGAGGGGGGCTGAAGCTCTCAAGGGGGCCCACAAATACGAAAGGAAAGTCAAGGAAATGACTTACCAGGTGAGTACGTCACAAACCTCCCCAATTCTCTGTTAGTCAGACCCAAATAAAGGAGTCACGGTCCTGCCCGGATGCTGTGTTTGCAGGCCGAGGAAGACCGCAAGAACATTCTGAGGCTCCAGGACCTGGTGGACAAGCTGCAGGCCAAAGTGAAAGCTTACAAGAGGCAGGCTGAGGAGGCTGTGAGTGTGCAAGTCCCAGGGTCACATCTGTTCTAGAGCCTGGGCTCCTGCTTGCCCGGGTGTCCCTACTAGTGCTGACTAGGAGAATTCTCCTGTTGGGTAGAATCTACTGGGTCTCAAACTGACATCTTCATGTACAAGCAAGTAAAACAGGGACACCTGCCTCCTCCTGTCCTGGTCTGTGTTAAAAAAAACCTTCCCCATCCTCCTCCACCTCTGTGCCCTCTGGCCTCACCCCACTCAGTGTTGCCATCTTGTTCCCCATCACTCAACCTCAGCCTGCCTCAACTGATCACACCCAACCCTGACTCAGTCTACCCACCCAAACCTTCACAACCCAGCCTATGAATCCCACCTCCCCTGACTCTCCCTAACCACAACTTCAGGCCACCTCACCAGTCCTCTTGGGCCCCTTCAACTCACGTAGACGCATCCTTCTAATTCAGATCACCCCACTGTGCCCACTGGTCCTACCTGAGCCCCCCTGATTCCCAGCACTCACTTTCTTCCTTTTCAATTTACCTCCAGGTCTATATTCAGTAAAATCAACACAGAGGCAATGAATGGGCTAAACCCACCAGGTCTGAGGGATGGATGCTAGGAGGAAATTAGTGTTGGGGGAGCTTTATTTTACCAAAAAAAAGTTATTTGGGAAAACTCTGGGTTAAACAAAGTTACGCTGGTTGCTTTCCTTCAAGATTTCTCAGCTTTCTCAGCCAAACTCTTCAAAGTGAAAGAGATGTTATAGAATGTCTCATTTCACACACCTAATTGACCCTGAGAACTTCAGAGCAGCCCACAAACCAGTGTTCAGAGGGACAAACTTTGGGATTCCTGTTCCACCCAAATGGCTGTGTGTGTGGCATCTCCCTGCTCTCCTTCTTCCTCTCCCTGACAGCTGGTCGGTCCCATCCTGAGTTCTAGATTAAATGCGAAAATACCAGTGCCCATCGCATCAGTAGCGTAGTGGTTACGAATCGGGCTGCGAACCGCAAGGTCAGCAGTTCGAAACTACCAGCTGTTACGCGGGAGAAAGATGAGGCTTTCTGCTCCCGTAAAGATTTGCAGCCTTGGAAACCCTGTGCAGGGTCGCTGTGAGTCGGAACCGACTCCACAGCACATAACAAAAACAACATCGCATCAGTACAGTTCCAATAACATCAGCCAGGCTGGGACCACCCAGGAGACCCCACACAATGGCCTTGCCGTAGACAGGTGACACTCAGGGAGTACAAGACACAGGGACTTGACTATGACAAGTCACCTCCAGGTACTTTGGGAGAACTCTGGACCGGCGTCTCCTCCAGACGAGCTCTGGGGCACACAGCCTAGAGGAGCGTGCAAGGCAGCATGAGGTAGTCTCAGAAGCGAAGTCACACCAACAAGGTGACCTCAGACCCAAGAGCAGGGTCTCTGCTCCCTGGAGAGCTTGCTCCTGCCTTCCCTCCTGAGCCATCAGGCCACCCCAGCCCTCCTTGTCGCCCTACTCTTCAGGGAAACCAGGGTGGGGGAGTCTTGGAGTAAGAGTGAGAGGTTTCATCAACCTCATACTTCATTCCAGGAAGAGCAGGCCAACACGCAGCTGTCCAGGTGCCGGCGAGTCCAGCACGAGTTGGAGGAGGCAGAGGAGAGAGCAGACATCGCTGAGTCCCAGGTCAACAAGATGAGGGCCAAGAGCCGGGATGTGGGCAACCAGGTAAGCGCAGATACCTGTGTGTGGCTTCTTCCCAAGGAGTCCTGAGACCCAGGAGCCCAGACACCAGGCAGGAAGAGTTTGGAGGCTACCTGTTGGTGTGCTCTTCCCTGATGCTGGTCATCCCTCACAGATTCCACCATTGTAGCAAAGGTTCCCATGAGTCAGGCTGAAAGGAAAATGAGCAATGAGGTGCCTGGGAGACTGACACTCTGTCTTCCTGTCTCCTCTGTTGTTTGAGGAGTTGCCCAAGAGTCTCTGGTTTTCCAGGCGATTCGTTCTCTCCCTAGTAGCTTGATTGGTTTGTCTTTAAATTGAGCACAAGGAAACAAAGCCATGCCTTAGTGTTTCTATGAAGTGTCTGCCTTTCTAGCGGCTCCACTTTAAGATGATGCTCAGTCTCCCATTTGGTTTGACTCATTTTCTGTGTATGAATTGTATTTCTTACGCAGAAGATGGAAGAATGAGGCCCTCCTGATGCGCGTTGCCATGGGACCCCTCTGTGAGAGTGGAGGGAAATGTTGTGAGGAATAAATTCTCCTAAGTACTTGAGTTTCTGGCTCGGCTGTGTTTATTACAGTGTTCCATCTCCCTTCCAAAGGAAAAACCAAACCACTAGCTGTTTAGTCAATTCTGACTCACAGAGACCCCGTGTCTGTCAGAGTAAAACTATGTCCCATAGGGTTTCAGTAACTGCTTTTTTTTTTTTTTTTGCAAGTAGATCATCAAGCCACCTCTGGGTGAACTTGAACTTGAACCCTGCTGTAAAACCTGACATCTGAAGGCTTTTTGCCTGTGAATGGCTCCAACCAGGTAGACATTAATTCCATCTGGTGTCTTGGTTTAAGTGTTCAGATGCCAATTTTTCTTGAGTACTTCTGACAGCTTACTGCCGATGTTAAAAACAGCAAATTTTAAAATGGTTTTGGGGTCACTTAGTCAGCCCTCAAAGAAACATTCCTGGACATCTCCCCAATGGTCACCTTGTTGTGATGTCATACTCCAAGAGCCTATAAACTTTTCTATCTGCAATCAACCACCCTCTGCTTTCTAAAGGCCCCATGTGTATATGTGATGGATGCATCAGTCACGGTTGTGAGAGATTTCTTTGATCTCTGTGCCTTATAAAAGGTCACCACGTGGAGACAGGACTTTGGAAACCCATCATGGTGCCTGTGATTCCCTCATCCGGGTGAGCTGTTCGTCTTTGTCTTGTGTTAACTCCTATTTAAGACTTAATTAAGAATCTCTATAATATTTATAAGGAGCTCTGGTAGCATAGTGATTATGAGTTGGACTGGTAACCTCAAGGTCAGCACTTCAAAACTACCAGCTGCTCATGGGAGAAAGGTGAGGCTTCTGTTCCCATAAAGATTTACAGCTTCGGAAACCCTATACAGGGTTGCTATGAGTTATTCCGACTCCACAGCACATCACCACCATAATATTTGTATATTCAAAGATGGGGTCTCTTTGCTCCCAATAGCAACCCCCATCCTTTCAGTTAGCAGCTGAGAACGTACAGAGATGGTTTTAGATTCTTGTCTGCATTCTTTTACATATAAAGAAAGTAAAGAATGTGGAAGTGTAATCTTCTTACCCCCAATAGAAAAAGGTTAAAAATCCTACTTGATTTCCAGGTAAATCACCAGCATTTTAAAATATAAACCCATCTGAATAACTGTAACACATTTTTTTGTTGTTAAGTGTCGTAGAGTTGGTTCCGACTCATAGTGACCCTGTATAAGGTTTCCGAGAAGCAGCTGGTGAGCTTGAATCGCCGACCTTGTGCTTCAAACCAATCTTGCAGTCCAGCACATTAACCTACTGTGCCGCACATTTTCTTATTGTTGTTGTTGTTGTTAGGTGCCATCGAGTCTGTACAAACCCATAGCGACCTTATGCACAGCAGAACAAAACACTGCCCGATCCTGGGCCAACCTCACTAAGATTGCCACGCTTAAGTCCATCAATGCTGCCACTTGGCCAATCCATCTTGTTGGGTGTCTTCCTCTTTTTCTCTGATGCTCCACTTTACCAAACATGATATCCTTCTCCAGTTACTGGTCCCTCCTGACAATATGTCCAAAGTATGAGAGATGAAGTTTGGCCATCTTGGCCTCCAAGGAGCCTTCTGGCTGCACTTCTTCCAAAACAGATCTATTGGTTCTTTTGGCAGCCCATGGCACTTTCAATATTCTCCTCCAACACCATAACTCAAAAGCATCAATTCTTCTATGGTCTTCCTTATTCACTGTCCAGCTTTTACATGCATTTTCTTATTAGGAACTCATAGTTCTTCCAAATTCAGTTTCTCGTTTTCTCTCAGTTTATAGATAGGTGTGCAGAGAGACCACAAACTCTAACTATAGTTGGCCAGACAAGAGTGGAAGCTGGACTCCAGACTCCTGGACCAGTCTACTGAGCAGCCCTGTTCTCTCTCCCAGTCCCACATCCAGTCTACTAGTGTCTTGGGGCTGTCATAACAAAATACCCCACATGGGCAGCTTCTAAGAACAACAATGCATTGTCCCACAGTTCTGGAGTCTGGAAATCTAAGATCAAGATGCCAGCTATGTTGAGTCCTTCTGAAGTTTGAGGGGAAAATCTGTTCCATGCCTCTCTCCTAACCTCTGTTGAAGCTCAACCCACTGCCAATGAGCTGATTCCAACTCATAGCAACCCTGTATAGGGTTTCTGAGATTATAAATCTTTATAGAAGCAGAAAGCCTCATCTTCTTTTCTAAGGACCAGCTGGGAGGTTTGAACTTCCAACCTAGCCCAGTGCTTATCTTGTAGAACTACCAGAGCTCAAGGCATCCCTTGGCTCACAGCTTCAGTACCACATGACACCCTTCCTCTGTCATTGTCTCTCTGTCTTACTCTTTTGTAAGGGTTAGGACTGACCCTACACAGTATGACGTCATGCTAACCCAACTAATGTTGTTAGGTGCCATTGAGTCGGTAGTGATTCATAGCGACCCTATGCACAACAGAACAAAACACTGCCCGGTCCTGGACCAACCTCACAATTGTTGCCACACTTGAGCCGAATTGTTAGCATCCTCAAAGATCCTGTTTCCAAACAGTGTCACATTTTCAAGTACAGGGGTTAGAACATCAACATATCTTTTTTTAAGGGCACATGATTCAACCCACAACATCTACCCACTGTTGCCCACAGCAGCTGAGCAGGTAGTAAGTGCCACTGAGCTTATTCAATCCTGGAAATATGGATGATTTAGAAAACAGAAGCTGGGAGTCCAGGTACCCTCTTATTCCTCCTTCCATCTGAGGTAACTAACTCCTCTCTGTCTGCGTGGGTCTCCTTGCTATTCCATGGACCAGAAGAGGAAGGGAACAGTTGGGTACAGAGCTGCTCAGTCTCAAAGTTCAGTCTGAAGCTGGGCCAGGCACCATCCTCCCATTTCCACTGAGTTTGATTATATTGGTTTGTTTACCCTGAAAGGGTGTAATAGAACAGCATTAGGATCAAAGACTAAACTTGAGCCTCAGCGCAAACTCTTAATCGCTGTAACTGAGCAGTTTTGTGTTGGTCACCCATAGTTCTCTGACTCTGAGTTTCCTTGTTGTCCAAACTGACCTGTGCAGTCCAGCAAACCTTGGGGGGGAATCGTGATGTGGTCATATACCAACTGCTTTGCCTTGAGTAAGTCATTCTGAAGTTGCTGATGGTCTCTGAGTTTCAACTTTCTACTCAGAAAGGCAGAGGTAACCATAAAACCATAGTGATTGTTAAATGGTGTTAAATACCAGCTGAGTATGTACCACATAAGTCTATTATCCTCCAACATCTTGGATCTAAATCCGCCTTTCTAGCTTATCTCCAGCCACCCCATCGGCCTTTAAACACAGTGGGATTGGAAGCTGAGGAGGTTTGGCAATTGACAAGAAATGATAACTGAGGTCACCGTCTCCTAACATCACCATCATCATCATCATCTCATTAAAGTTTGGGGTTGAAAGAATCCATTAGAAATTATCTAGTCCAATATCTTCTTCTACAGACAAGTAAACCGAGGCCAGGAGAGAGAAGTGACCTTCTCAAGGTCCCCTGGATACAAGTCCCTAGTCCAGCACTCCTGCCACGCCACCACATTGTCCCCCAAAAAAGAATAGCCCTACCTACTGTCATCTAATCCATTCAGACACACACAGACCTTGTATAGGGTTTCCAAGGCTGTAAACTTTTATAGGAACCTCATCTTTACAGAAAACCTCATCTTTCTCCCTTGGAGAGACCGGTGGGTTTGAACCGCCTGCCTCGCAATCAGCAGCCCAGTGCTTCCCCTAAAATGCTATCCAGACTCCTTAAGAATCACATCGCTGCACACTTTAAGTACACAGGACACTTTACAGCCGTCCTCAAGCCTGTTTTTCTCTTTTCCATCTCAGTCTCTAAACAAGCCTGCCAGATCAGGCAGGTATTCAGGTTCCCATTTTCTAGAGGTGTTACAGACAAGTTATGACTTGCCCAATATTTTGAGACAGGAGATGCAATCACAGTTCTTCACAGTCCCCACACAGCACAAAGAATCTCACAGCGGCGGTTCCCCCAAGCATGGGCGTGTGCTGCAAGCATGGAGCCTGGGTCCTAACCTGCCACGTCCCAATCGTACACTGCCGATCACTATCTTTGTGACTTACAGCAAGTTCCTTCATGGCGTTAAGCCTCAGTTTCCTGGTGTGTAAAATGGGTGTAACAGCCTACTTCTAGGATCGTTTTAAGGGATAAGTAAGAATAGACTAGAAGTGTACTTAATTAGAGTCTGACAGTAAGCTCTCTAGTAACCTGTTCTCAGGATGGGGAAGGAGGTAGGTGGAGTGCTGGAAAGGGGTTTAGGCTGTTTCTCAAAAAGGTTTCCTCTGATTTGAGAAGCTAACATATCACACAATTGTTGTTATTGTTGTTGAGTGCTGTCCTTTCAGTTCCAATCCATAGTGACCCTGTATACGGTTTCTGAGGAGCCGTTGGTAAGCTTGAACCACTGACCTTGAGGTTTAAAGTGACTTTGCAGTCCAGTGTA